GAGGTTCATGTTGGACAGGCATCTAAGTGCTTGAATACTTTTTCAAAGTTTTTTGGAGCATTCCTAACCAATTCCATTGAGGAATTAGGCAGAAAATTCCACAAGAGCATATTTTCAATAAGGAAGCCCAGTGTTCCTTAAGGTCAGAAATATAAAAAAAATAAAAAACCTGTAAGAATAAAATAAAATAAATTGCAGAGCCATCTCAACATTACCAGAACTAGCTTAATTAGACATTCCTAAGGAAGCACTGGTGTGGGAAATATACTTTCTACATTCTGATTTTGGATGCTAATAAATTAACAGTATTAGGAAATGAACGACATTTTAGTAGATGTATAATAAGCAGGAGAATTTTTTCTCTTAAATCATTCTTTTCCAGTGAGGCTAATATTATAAAATATATAAAAGCATATATTGCTGATAACATTTTACAACTCTGTTGTAAAAATTATAAAGGCCCTCACCTGTGCTCACTCAGAAAAGAAAATTGTGGATAATGGGCTTTGTTGTTTTATTTAATAATTACAATAAAGAGTAAGACACTTATTTTTAATCAAAGATAAGGCATTTTGGGCCTAAAGAAAAGCAATAAAAATAAAAGGTATAAATCCTTGAGAAAACACCGTAAGAGATTAAATCATCTGCAAGAAGACAGCAATTCAGAAAACAGAATGGCTTTGATAGCCAAACACAGGCAGATGTTTTGGAAATATCAAGATGTGGTATACAGAAAATATATACCACGCTTTTGAACCAGCTGCTTTCATCAGGTGTTGAGCAGATTAAATTTTCCTCTGGCTGGGTTAACTTGTACAAAGCAAGAATTTCAAAGCTAGGAGGGACCATGTAACGATGGTTTGGCCTCCTATATAACCCAGTTTATATCATTTCATTAAGTAACTTCTGCAGGAAACCGGTAAATACTGGCAACATCATGTTCTTTAGAAAGACTTCCAGGCTTGATTTAAAACATAAAGAGTTAGAGAATCAATGAATCAATCAATTTCCAAATTTAAAAAATACCACTTTATTTGTTATACAAAGCTAGATATGGGCACAAATAAAGCATCCATACAGTATCATTAATGTAGGTCCGGGTTCTCTAGAAAATGAAACAGAGCTGAAATTTGATTCATGAAATGATATACAGCCATGTTATAACAAGAGGGTATGCTTCCACCCTACACTTCAGGTTAAAAATGCAGCTGGGCACTGCCCACATTTATTACTCCACTGAGTAGTGCCATTGGATTCAATGGAACTACATACCTAAGTTTGCGTGTTACTGCTCAGCGTAAGTTAGCATTGCAGAATCAGGCCTCTCACATGAAAACACAAAGCCTCGTGCCTGCTTTTTTGTGGGAAGAGAGGTAGATCGTACCAAATACAAGGGTTCAATCTACTTTTCACTTCTTCCTGAGAAATACAATGCAGGAGAGTACCACTTCTATCTCCAGGCTGCTGAGAAACCTCCTCCACCACATTTCCTGTTTGTAACTGAGCAAAGAAGAGACAAAAGACTTTTAAGACCAAGAGAGCTCTAGAGGCAAACTCAAGTTGCCAAGCTAATCAAAAGAGCATATTGGGGTGAGGCAGTTTAAACTCAATTTTATTTTCTGTTTGTGATACAGAAGCTCCTTCTCCAAACAACAATATATGAACAGGTATGTCTTTTTCTCCACTTTCGCTTGATTTATATAAGTCTTTTATATGGAGAGAATGCATTTCAATAGATTACAAATCCCTCAAGCAGGTTGTTCAAAATCTGAGAGTCTGAATATTCATCTTAGTAATTACAATGATGAGTCGTCATCATTGTAATCTAAATTAATCTTCAGCTAAGTGGGCAAAAGTACATTAAGATTTGTTAATGAGGAAGAAACACTGGCATCATTTTTGTGCTTAAAAGACTTCCTGCTTAGAGAGATGCTGATTTTACTGTGCACTTTTCTTTCCCTTCTGAGGCATGAAGTTTATATCTTAAAGAAGCAATTAGCTGCGGTCTAATTAATTGCAGTTTAAGGACCCCTTTCCAGGGAATCAATCTTGTATTAAAAGTTCACCCAGGTGGAAATTTTATTAATGTTAATTTAGCATTCGTCAGTCACTTAATGGATTTTTTTGGAAAGGGTCATTACTATAGAACATTATTTATCTCGCTGCTTAATTGGAGAGAAAAATTGCTAATTCAGCCTTTGTCTACAGACATGATGGGATATGAACTCTTTTACTCCTCCAACTCATTCTGCAAATATGGATCAGTTGGAAGTGACCAAAAGTCATTAATATACCTCCTTTGGATGATAAGGTGATGGTGGAGTTGGTATCTCTCATTCCAAATGGAGAGATATCTACATTCTGCTCCCCTCATCTTAGCTGAAAGGACTAAAGAAAGAATCATTCTTAGTGATGATTTCTCTAAATCAGGGACAGAATAGGACAACTTTCCAGTAGAAACTTCTTCTCTCCGTCCTTGAGCTGTTAGAAGGATTAACAAAAATATTGCTCTCCTTTCCCCAGGCTCCAGAGAGTAGTGCCTTTTGTGAGCACCAAATTTACTTCATAAATGAAGCCTGTGTCCATACCATTAGGGTACATCAATACCCATTAATGGGAGGATTTCAGACAGGAGATTTTTTAAAGAACCCTACAGTCCAGAGATGTGCCAACAGTACCTCAAAAGGGAAATCAGAAAAAGAGAAGTAGCAATTGCATTTATTGAAAAATATGTTTTAAAAGCCTTACATTGTATTATCATTATGATATAGTGCCATTAACGTGCGCAACAAAAAACAACACACTAAATAAAAGGCAGACTTTCATCCCTCAAGCAGAAAAATCAGAAAGTCATACAGAATATAATCCGGTTGGTCTAATTTACATTTTGAGATAAGGAAGGCATAAATTGCACTTAGATCCACCACTAAATGTGATCCTTTCTTCCAAAACTACATTGCCTTGAAAAAGAAATGGATGCCATAAATATAGAACAGACCCCAAAGCAAGGTGGATAAAAATATATAACAATGTGACTGATGTATTAAATATATCCCCTCCCCCCCACCCCTGAAATGTTCACAATTTGACACCAGAAATCCTGGGCTCAGCAAGCACTTTTATGGAAGTCTTTAGGCCGTAACAATTCAACCTTCATTGCTCTAAAGGCACTCCCATTGCTTTTATAATTGCAAACAAGCTAGTCCTTGAGAAGAAATATAAGAGACTTAAGTCCATTGTGTTTCTTTTGCTTGAAGATGATTCCATGAGACCTGGATAGAACCACAGGCTTGTAACATTCAAACCATGGTATATTATTCCTACAGATCTGTTTCAACTTGGGGCATTAGTTTTAAAAAGAAGCAATGTAATTTTTTAAATAATAAGACAAAAAGTTAAAACAAAGAAAAGGTTTCACTTTCAATGACAACTATTTGCATACAAATTGAGAAACCATCACCAAATGTGGCGATAAAGATCTTCAAAATCAGTCTCCTGCCTACACAAAAATCATCTATTTTTGCTGGGTATCACATGAGACAATATGGAAGAAAATTAAACTTGGAAAACAAATCCAACAATATTAAACCATGGGCCACTCTCTCATAGCAAGAGAGGAAGCATTCAGCATTTTCCTTCCATTTGTTTCAAGCTTTCCCACCCCCCCACCTATTTTTGACGTCTTTTGCACAGCAAGCGAGTTGTTACAGGTTACACCTGTTCTCTGTCACACAGAGACAGCTGCTCAGTTTTCTGTGGAGACGCATTGTTCTGCAGAGTGCTATTCAGGTTTTCCCCACTGCTGTCGTCAAAGTTATAGGTATTTAAATAACTCACTTTTAATAATAGTAAATAGCTGGAGTGGGGGGTTACTGGCAGTAAGCATGTGGATAGTGAAGGAACAGCTGGGGAAGAGAGGGGAATAGGTATGCATGAAGCAAGCGGTCTGAAAAAGTGAGATTTCTTTCATGTTTTCTATTTGGATAGCAAGATTAGCTTGAAATTTACATTAGAAAAAAAAGTGTGGGACACACAGAGAGGCAATATTCTGTGTTTGATCAAACCCCTGACTGGGACTTTATGGATATATCCAAGACTCACTTTCATTTATGGAATGTAAAAATGTTGATTGACAAGTGCAAGGTATTTGTAGACTGCTTATGTAGGATCAAGATTAAAAATGCAAGAGGATGATATGTTAATGGTTTGTGCATGTGCACGTTTCTCTCAGATAAATAAAATAAAACATTTACATTGGCATTTTGTAAAATAATTAAAAAAAAAATCTAAAACATGACCTGCTGAGGAAAACATTAAATAGTCTGCCTCAGACAGAAGCCTATTTATGATGTACAGAGAAATCCAGGAGGTTATGAAGTTTTTTTTTTTTGTATGTTGGAACATCGGCCATAGTGTCTCCTTTTTTTTTCCCCTTGGAGGATTTAGGAGAACTGTGAGGATCGTCATATTTTAAGTGCAAAGAAAATTAAACCTCACTAAATGAATGAAGCAGCAATTTTTTTACATCCTGACTTTAATTACATCAATTAAACAGTGGACAAATATTAATTGTAAAACTTGTTGTCATTTGTTGGGAATTGGTAATTGAACCAGTTTAAAAAACAGGATTGTAGAATTAATGCAGAGTAGGCTCGCTAGCAGGTATTAAACACAATAGTATGCCTGTAACCTCCAAATTATGATTTTGCTGGCCACTAAACACTGGAAACTGTAAAACAATGATTCTCAGCCATGGTACTGTGGCCCCTTGGGGTGCCTGAAGACCTTTTCAGGGGTACTATGGGATGCCATACAACGTAAGTACTTCTAGGACCCTGCTACACATTCAAATTAAAGCTGGATAGAAACCAGCTATAGAGTTGTTACATATTTTCAAGCACTAACTTTATAGCTGCTTGGCTCTTTTTATAGCTGAATAGTCATTTTTATTTTGTGATAATGACTTTGCACATGTGACTGGTCTAATTTATTGTACAATTAACCAGTTCATTTTATAATATATGTAACATGTAGCAGGGGCCTTAGATATGCAACCATAAGTCACAAGATAAACCCAGTGGCTACGTCCAGACAAGTGAGGCCGTGCAGTATGTGGTGCCGCAGACATGTCTGTGGCGCCACATACCACACATTCAGCCGTTCTCTGTGCTGCAAAGAAGCAGAGTGGGAGTTTTTTTTGACCCCTGGATATACGGGTATAAAAACAAAATGCATGCAAAAAAAGCAAAGCAGCACATGCATGTCGCTCAAAACTGGAACCTGGCCACTGGAGCCACGCTCTGATTGCTAATCAGGATCCAAGCAGTAGGATTGCCACTGCTGCAGCCCCAAGAGTCCCTCAGGACCTCAGGTAAGGCTGCTGGACCAGCCTTCCCTACCCCACCCGGGGTAAACTGCCACATGCCAGAGGATGCGTGGTACAGGTGCTCCCTGGTAACAACTAGCGGCGGCACAAGGTGTGCTGCTCCTAGCTGTCTTTGGGGAACCAAACATCTACGCTCGTGTGGACATGGCCAGTGATTTCAAATAAGAATCCGCAGTGTTAAAAAAAATATTCTGATTTGTTGTAGTCTCCCTGAGTTTTTGCAACAGAAAAATTGCTGTATTATTTTTCCGTAGTCACAAAATGAGTGAAAACTAAGGGGTGGCATTTTCTAAGGGGTGCCTTGAGCCTAATGAGGGGTGCCTTGAGTCTAAAAAGGTTGAGAACCACTACTGTAAGGGAAGAGAGGAAGAGGACAAGTCAGGCTGGTTAGGCCCTGCATAAATACTCTAGCTCCTTAGCCTCTCCCTTAAGTCATTGTGAGACACAGAACACAGGGCCACATGGACCCAGGGCCCGATTAATGCATAGGCAAACTAGGCACATGCCTAGGGCCCGAAGTGAAGAAGGGGCCTAGTTGTGCTTATTTTACATATTATAATTATTGAGTAAAAGTAAGTAATACAAAGATACAGTATTAAGTAAAGGCCCACAAGTTTGTTTGCCTAGGGCCCACTAAAGGGTTAATCCAGCCCTGCATGGACCTGTGATCTGACCCAACACAGATTTAAGTTCTTAATAAACTATTTTCATTCCCTCTTCCCAACGTCTTAAAAAAAGAAACAAAAAGTTGGGAGGATTGCTTAATATTAAAGAATCCAAAGTCCATGGCTCTTCAGTTAAAGTCTTATGCCTCTGAGATCTGCTTCCTGTGTTATTAAGAAAGAAGAGAAAAAGAATTCCCAAATTTCTGAAATAGACTAATTGGATTTTTTTTTGTTTTTGCTGCCAGTTCTTTACTGCAGGAAAAGATACATGCTCCAATGATTTTTTTTAATATATATATATATATATACACACACACACACACA